CGGGGGGGAAGATGGAATTGTGGGGGGGAGCCGCTAAAAAGCCATAGTGGGTACGTGGAAAGTTAAATCCAGAGCGGACGTCTGCCTAAACGGAGTGTCGTCTAGCTCAGCCTCCTGCTCTGTGGCTTGATGCGGGTTGCCTAGCGCAGAGCTCTGGCCTGTGTAGAAGGTTGAACGAGATGATCGCAGGGAGGAAGGAGAGTAGAGCTGCAATCTGAATTGCTCCTGAGAGCCAGCCCTGTGAGAGGGTGCGTAAGAGCCCCGCGGTAGAGGGGCACCCGGAGAGGTACGGGACCAGCCTGCAGTTTCCTAGTCAGTCACCAGCCGAGCTGGAAGAGCCTAGGTCTCCTGGCTCACATTCCCGTGCTTACACCGTGGGCCCCTCCTTTCCGTTCCATTCTCCCGCGCACAGCTGCCAGAGTGCCGGAGGCTGGCCCAAGCGCTAGAGGCCCTGTGTGTGAAGAGCAGCTTCTCACTCCTCGGGGCGTCGTTGGGGCAGGCGGGCTCTGGCCGTCCCTGGCATCGGGCTGGGAGTGTGGGAGCAGAAGCTGTCGGAGTCTCAGCCTCATGTCTGTCTCGTCTAGACCGTATTTTGAAGGCCTGTCCCACTCCAGCTCCCAGACGGAAATCGGTAGCATCCACAGCGCCCGGAGCCAGAGAGAGCCCTCGAGCCCCGTAAGTCCCATTTCCAGAGGGTGTTCACCAGCGGAGCGGCCTGGCGGCGGCACAGTACATCTCCCCAGCCAAATGGCGGCATTCCCCCTGGCAGGAATTTAACCTGCCATGCAGTCGAATGCGTTCAGCCCCGGGGTTTGCGCTGTGCTGCGATGCATGCCTGTGCGGAGCCAGCGAACGACGCCCGAGTGTGCTGCTAGCAGAGCCCGGGGTTTCAGCAGCCGCGAGGCGGAAGTTTGCCTTTCCTGCGGCTGGCGCTTACGCTGCGTGTTTTGCCCGTCACTTGCCCTGTGGATTCTGCAGTCAGTTGGCACGAGAACCGGAGCAGGAGCTGTGACTGCTTGCGTACTGCGTGCGTGTGTGTGTGGGGAGGGGGGTGTCAGCTGTTCAGAGCACTGCCTGCAGGGCAGCCGCCCCCACGCCATGAGGCGGAAGTTTGCCTTTCCTGCGGCTGTCGCTTACGCTGCGTGTTTTGCCCGTCACTTGCCCTGTGGATTCTGCAGTCAGTTGGCACGAGAACCGGAGCAGGAGCTGTGACTGCTTGCGTACTGCGTGCGTGTGTGTGTGGGGAGGGGGGTGTCAGCTGTTCAGAGCACTGCCTGCAGGGCAGCCGCCCCCACGCCATGTCCCTGTAGAACGCCCACCCCACACAACGGAAGGGCAGACCCCAGTGCACCCCAAGGGCAGGCAGGACTGGGAGGTGCTGGCTGGAGCGGGAGGTGCTCTCTGGAGCAGTGTCTGGCAGGGCTGGGGTCAGTCCCTGAGCGGAGAGGTGGCAGTGTCTCTGCCCCAGCTGGCAGAGGGGCGTGGGGATGAAGGGGACCTGTTTGTGGGGCACGGTGCTAGTCTGCGGATGGCGCCCGGCGTTGGATGTGAGCAGTCCGGGTTGGGCTCGGCTCTCTCGGGCCACAGAGCTCCGCAGGGAAGGGCTTGGCGCTGCCAGCCCCCGCCCTCTGTCTCCCAAGCTGCAGCGTCCCTGGGGGCCAGGCATGTTTTTGCCTCCTCTCCAACTCTGTAAGTGGCAGGACCAGGCCCTGTCCAGAAGGACCTGAGCTTCGGAGCAAGACTCGTGAGTCAGTGGAGAAGCCTGGAGCCGTGGAGCACTGGGGGCAGGGGGAGGCTAATCCCAGGCGGCAGTACTGGGCTGTCAGACCCACTGCCGGCGGCCGGGGGGGCGGTCTCTGCAGACAGAAGTTGCTAGGGCTGCTGAATTGAGGGAGGTTTCTAGTGGAACCTGCCCATGCTTAGCTTGAAGGCCTGAGGGTGGGTCTGTTTCTGCGCTCACTGGCCTGGGACTGGCAAGGCAGTGACTCCCGTTACTGCTCAGCCCTGTGGGGCAAGGTCTGGCTTGGCTCAGTCGGCACAGGGGTGCTGTGTGCCCTAGTGCGGGCGTCTCAGCCTTTCTGTCTGAGGCCTCCCCACAAAACCCCAGAGGGGCAGAGGCTCCAGACAGCTGCTTTTCTGCATGTAGAACCCGGGGCCGGCGTTGTGGGGCAGGAAGCAGGGCAGCTGAGGGATTTGGCCCGAAACCTGTGGGCACCCCAGGGGAGGCCTGCTGCCCTAGCATGCTTTGCTCTGACTGCTCCCTCTCCCCAAACAGGTAGAAGTGCCTGAAAAGACCAAGAGCCTTGGAAGCAAACCCCCAGCGGACAGTCTCTCGGACACCGTGTCCTACGTACGTCTAAGCGCTGCCTTGTAACGCTCGCCCAGCAGTTGGAGTAGCTGCTGTCTGTCGTACCCTGGGGGCTTGGCCTGCCTCACAGGCCTTGCACCGACTCCCTCAGCTGGGAGTCTGTTCCAGGCGGTCGGCTCGTGCTGTGGGAGCTGTGGGTGGGAGCAGCTGGGGGCGACGGAGCAGGGTGGTGTTACTAGGGCCAGGGAAGGCACCGGATTTCCGTGGCTTTTCACGTCGCTCCATGTTTGTAGGAGCCTAGCCAGCAGGATGCCCAGGAAGCAGAGCTCTCCACGCTGGACGTGTTCATCGAGAAGCTCCCACCCAGCGGGAAAATCACCAAGACGGAGTCTCTCATTATTCCATCCCCCCCCGCCACAGGAACGGGCTAGGACCATGTGCAGCCAGGGTAGCCCCGTGCCTGGCCCACCACGGAGGATCTGAGCACCACAGCGCTCCTGGGGGAGAGGGCAGTGGCCAGCCCCGGGACGAGGGGCTTGTAGCCTCTGCTGAGGAAGTACCTGAGGATTGGAGCTGGTCTCCCTCTGAGGCTTCCTCAGCTGGGATGGTGGCTGAGGGTGCGAGATGGGTACTGATGCAGTTCTTGGGCATCCGACTCCAACCTGCAGGGGCGCCTGGCCTGGAAGGAGAGAGATGGAATATTGAGCCGGGTCCCTTGAAGAGAAGCTGGGCAGCCCAAGTCCCTGGTCTCATCTGAAGAACGTGCCCCTCGGGGCTGAAAGCTCCCATGGCCCTTACGAATTGCTCTTGGGGTACACGCTCACATACCAGCCCCGAAGGGCTTGCAGTGGGGGCAGCCTTTGGGCTGTGGGAGCCGGGTGCTGGCTGTCCCTCCAGTTCGGAAGGGGTGCCGGGTGTCCGGTTTTGAACCAGACAGTCTGGTATTGGCGCTTTCTGTCCAGGAAACAAATGGAGAGAATAGAAGTGCCTGGTATTTTCTAAATCCGATGGGATGTAGATTGGGATGGAATGGCAAGTGTGGCCGGGATTTTTGTTGAAACCGTCTGGCCACCCTCCAGTTGGTAGCGGACGGGTGTAACTCGCTGCAAGGGACGCGCTCTGGGGGAGACGTGGTCCTTTAGTTGAAGTTCTTTGAACAGTCTCCTTGATCAGTTAAAACTAGGCACTAATTGGCTCCCTTGCCAGTGTCGTCAGAGAAGAGCCCTAGACCCCATTAAGCCACGGGGGTCTGCTCTCTCCCCACCAGCGGTGATGTGTTGGCTGCTCCTGAGACCAGCCTCCCACAGCACACAGCTTATGTCCGAGTGCTCGCTAGGACAGCTGACGTGACCCCGCCAGCATGCAGCCTGGATTCCCGGGTTTCTGGTCAGCCTGCTGCTCGAGGCCCCTGTGGGTGGATTCGTGAGAGCTGGGCTGCCGGATGTCTCTGATCTGGGCGCGCCACACAGATCCTGTTGCTGCAGCTCAGCACAGCCCCGGCTGAGCACTGACCGTGTGACTTGCGCTTCAGCAGGCCGGAGGGGAAGCAAGCCGGCCGCCGGGGGAGAAGCACGTCACTGAAGGAAAGGCAGCCGGCACGGCCGCAGAATGAGCGAGCAAACAGCCTGGACAACGAGCGCTCTCCGGACACCAGGCACCACCTACAGGTCAGATGAGCTCCCCCTTTCACAGCCCTGTGCCATGTGCCCGTCCCCGGGGTAGGAATTCCAGCAGCCCCTCTCCTCCAAAGGCCAGGGACCAACCTTCCCTTGGGCCCGGCTGCACCGTGCCATGGCAGGCCGAGCTGGGCTCTCTGCCCCTGCTGCTTTGGGGAAGCTCCTTGCTTGGCTTCAGCCAGGGTGAGACTGAAGGCCTGGCCTGAAGCAGCGGGCTCCAGTGTGAGAACCGAGGGATGGCCATGTGGCGCCAGGGAAAACACACAATGCTACAGCGAGTCCTCAGTCTGGCCTCTGACCCAGCGCCTCCGAGCGGGCTGGAAGGAGCCAGGCTCCAGCCCAAGCATACACCATCTCGCTGCTGCGCTGAGCCCGGCAAGCTAGAGCCAGTGGGCCCAGGCTCTGAGAGTCACTGGGCAGGGGGCTTTGCAGTGCAGATGTACCCCAAGTGGGATGTTGAAAGCAAAATCCTTGCTCTGTGCTCTGGGACGATTCTTAGACTCACAGCTTGGTAATATTGACCCCCGTGAAAAGTAATTGCTGCCCAGGATTTGGAAAATCTCTCCCCTTTCTGTAGTTAGTACTGGCTGCCACGCAGCGGCTTTCTTGCGGTGTGTCCTTTGATCATCACGGACTCGCTGGCTGTCAGTAGCTGGTGGAAACGTGCTTGGGGAGTTTCCCTGACTCCCTGGAAAGCACAGGGCTGTTGGAGGTGGGGAAATGCAACCTAGTCTTATTTGCATCTTTCATACACAGCTTCTCTGAGGGGCTGATGAAACCAACGCTGCTGGTTCAGCCGTGATGAACCACTCTTCCATTCTCTGCTTTGGTGGTTTTGTGTTCACAGATCCCAAGGAAAACCGTGTACGATCAGTTGAATCACATCCTGATTTCTGATGATCATCTCCCAGAAAATATTATTCTTGTTAACACTTCGGACTGGCAAGGCCAGGTAGGTGCAGGAGAGCGGAAGATTGAGCCCTGGTCTCTGTCTAGGGCGGGTTGCAGCTTACACACGAGGTTCAAATCTCCCTGGAAAGTGGGTCTAACAGGATTTGGGAGTTGGGCCTGGGAATGGGAATTGTTCCTTGTCCAGGCAGTTAACATGAGCCTTCCCCAAGCCCAGCCTCTGCCCCTTAGTGGCGCTGTCCCAGGTTAGTCCCTGCTCGTTGGACGTGGCTGAGTTCTTCTCTCCCTGGCGCTTGTGGCCCGCCGAGAAGGCATTTAGAGGGGTGTTTGGCTGGCGGGCTCCCGCCATGCTGAAGTGAGACGAGG